TAATATGTGGCAGGGGGTATAAGATTTCTTGTGAACTTTACAACAATTTTATTAATTATTGTAGAGCTAATATTCCTATTTTGGTGTTTTATTCAATTCATGTTAGCTAAATGTGTTTTTTCATAGGAAAGAGCTCTCCAGAATGTTGAGTCATGTAAAAAGAGAAAATGGAATTCTAGAAATGGGTCTAAAAGTACAACACATCATCACGTTAGTCGTGGGGCTGAATTGGATGCTCCTGTTGGTCATGTCGAGACATGGCGTCTTCGTCATTGGCATCCAGAACGTGATTGGGTATCTGCAGAAGCAGAATCTAAATACGTAAGTATTGTTTAAAGGTAGAGTGTGTTTGAATGTCACTTGTTCATGCAAATAAAATGATTTTAGATTTTAAATTGATGTTATCTTTTTAGCTTTGATGGCACAAGCATATGCAGGGAAAGTTGATCGGTCCATTCCTTCACTTTTTTTGTTGTAAATTTGAGATTGCCATTGTCATTTACCTCTCCCTTTCTTGTGCCCAATTTTCTGACTTTAATTTCATGCACTCTTACCTATTCTTTCGGCTTCATTATCATCTCATCAATTTAATATTTATTTGCAAATGGTTCATAATACACAAGCATCTCCATAATTTGAATCATTAATGAATTGTTATTGTTTCATTGATAATTTAACAGGAAGAGATGGTGGAGTTGAGAAGAGAAAATTCACCCGAGACTTTAACCGATAAACAAATATCAGAGAAGGTGCTTGGACGTGAATCTGTTCGTTTGTGTTAGAGATATTGATATTAAAATTGCGAGTTTAACCAGATAAAAATCCCGAGTTTAAACAAATCACCAGACAAACCGCCAAATGCAAGAAAAGAAAATAATAATAATTAGTATAAATTAAAATAATTAAAAAGTAAGGATAAGAAAACTTATCGCAGGATCGCCCGTTAAAACGGACTGGCCTTGAAGAAAGATAGCCCCCGTATCCCGATAGCTATTCGGACGGGTCTGGCTAGCTCGCTCCCAGGATAATCCTACCACGTTTCAGACTCGTAGCTACCTTGACTGAAACCTTCGACCGTTGCCAAATTTGCCAAGAAATAGAGTTGACTTGAACTCTTATGAAAGTATAATATATAAATTATACGTACTCTTGGAATGGACAAACTAGTGGAGTAAAGACCCACTCAAATCAAAAAATGATTTACGTATGAATGTATGATGATCTAAAGAAAATGATAGAGAAAGGATGTTTTCTATTCTTTTGTGTGTAAGAGCTCTCCACAAAGCAATATGCAGAAGTGGCCTTTATACTTCATCTAACGGAATAAGGAGGTAGGGGAATAATAGTTCAACGGAAATCAGAATTTCAAAGCATGAAACGGAAAACCACTTTAATGCTCATCCAAACCTCTACATTAACCACCATTAAGATATGTATGGATGTAACGCAGGACCAAGCATCGTATTTCAATTTTGAATTCCAAATTGAATACTGCTTTGCACGTTTTATTTTATGATTTAAAATAAAACTGTTCAGATTCAGCAAGTCACAATTTTTGTCAAAACGCAAGCAATTCCTTGATACATTTTAAATGATACTTGAACAATGTTCCTTATCATATAAAATAATTTACAACGGTAGCTTTTACTTATAAGCGACAAAAAATTTATCATATTAAAACATCACTTTACCACCTTTACAACTATGGATTATTTTATTAATTATAATCCAATCATGAAAGTTGTACTTTGATGTATAATAAATCATTTCCAAATCATACTCTATACATTTATCCTCAGGACTCATAAATGAGCCCCCCTAAAATATATATTTTCCCATCATATTTCCAACAATCCCCCACAAATCCATAGTTGTAGACTCAACTCTAAGACATAGTGTGCTTTTAAATATGGTACCTTCCGGTTTGAACCAAATTCTAAGCTTTTACCCCTTACCCCCACAGGAACTGAGTGAACAGAGTTCTTGAACTCGAACCTTGATTGTGTTGGCGTGGGATAAAAGCAACACACTAGCGGCAATGGCAACGATCTATAGGGGTGACGCTTTTACGGCCATGCGTCCTGATCCTGTCTCAAGAATGTCATCAAGAATTAACCCTTATTCTCTTATTGCGGCCACACAATAACATTCTCATAGTTGGGCATCTCCAAGAGTGCATTGCTAACACTCTGCTATTAAAGCTCGATCCCATTCAGAGTCTTTAACTCTTACTAACCTAGCAATTTCAGCATCTCTAAGGCTTATCAAGGAATAGAACTCAAAATATTTTAATGAGATGCACAATTCACTCTACGATTTGTTTATACCACATTGAACCTACTTTATGGGATCTCCACTCAGATAGGTTGGGTTGCTACCGTAGATGAATAATTATTGGGTTTCAGTCCCATTCCTAACCTTGATTTTATCACTTGATTTAAATCAAGTCCTTTTGTTAACGGGTCCGCTGTATTATCTTTGGATCCAACAAAATCAACAGCAAACACCCCCTGAGACACAAATTTCCTTATAGTTTTTAATCTAACTTGAATGTGTCTCCTAGTCTTTTGATTATACTTGGTACTCCTAATTTTTGCAATTGTACTCATACTATCACAATGCAAACAAATAGGTGGAATTGGCTTGCTGAATATAGGTAACTCGGACATTAGTCCCTTAAACCATTCAGCCATAATTCCTGTAGTATCCAACGCACATAATTCAGCCTCAAAAGTAGACCGAGAAAGTACAGTTTGTTTGGTGGACTTCCAAGCAACAGCCCCACCTCCAAACGTAAACACATACCCGGTACACCGATAACTCCCAGAGTTTTTAGCTATCCAGCTTGCATCACTATATCCTTCAAGAACAGGAGGATATTTACCATAATGCAAACCCAAGGAAATAGTTCCTTTCAAGTATCTGAATACTCTATCTAAAGCCTCCCAATGAGTTCTGTTTGGACAGCATGTGTACCGACTAAGTTTAGACACTGAAAATGCAATATCAGGTCTAGTACAGTTAGCTAAGTAACCCAAGCTACCAATCATCTGAGAATATTTTAATTGAGACACAGGAACACCACTTTCATTTTTATACAAAGCTACAGAAGGATCATAGGGTGTTTTAGCAATTCTACTATTTTTAAATCCAAATTTCTCAATTAATTTTTCAATATAATGAGACTGAGAAATAGAAATGCCTTTGGTTGATCTAGTCAACTTTAGCCCAAGAATTACTTCCGCCACCCCCATATTCTTCATTTCAAACTTTGTTTTCAAAAATGACTTAGTCTCAAAAATAATATTATCATTAGTGCCAAATAATAATATATCATCAACATATAGGCATAAAATAATACTTATATCACCTTTACATTTATAATAAACACTTTGATCAGCATCTATAAGAGTAAATCCAAACGAAGAAATTATTTTATCAAATTTTTCGTTCCATTGCTTAGGGGCTTGCTTAAGTCCATATAAAGACTTGACTAATTTACAAACTTTTCTCTCATTGCCTTTTGCCACAAATCCCTCAGGCTGATCCATATAAATTTCTTCTTTAAGGTCACCATGAAGAAAAGCTGTCTTAACATCCATTTGATGAATTTTAAGACCATATACGGAGGCCAATGCTATAAGCATTCTTATTGTGGTCATTCTTGCAACTGGAGCATATGTATCGAAAAAATCAATACCTTCTTTTTGTTTATAACCCTTAGCAACTAATCTGGCCTTATATTTATCAATGGTTCCATCTGGTTTTAGCTTCTTTTTAAAAATCCATTTACATCCAATAGTAGTACATCCGGGAGGAAGATCAACAAGCTCCCATGTTCCATTTTGAACAATGGAGTCCATTTCACTTTTAATGGCATCCTTCCAATACATGGCCTCAGACGTGGCCATTGCATCTCTAAAGGAAATTGGATCACCCTCAATATTGTAAATGATAAAATCACTTCCAAAATCCTTAGTGATTCTAGCTCGTTTGCTCCTTCTCGGTTCATCTAGACCATTTGATTCAAAATCAATATGACTAGAACTACCAGATTCTACCCCCACATTTGTCATTTTTTCCACTTGATCAGGAATTGAATTAAATGTAGTTTCTTGATTTTCAAAAGAAGTATTTTGGGGCACACCCGTTTTCATTGGAAAAACATCTTCAAAGAAAGTAGCATCACGAAATTCTACAATAGTATTGACATCTATGCCAGAAATTTCAGATTTAATGACCAAAAATCTCATTGCATAAGAATGTTCAACATAACCAATAAAAATAGCATCAACAGTTTTAGGCCCAAGTTTCTTTCTTTTATGTTCAGGGACTAATACTTTTGCAAGACAGCCCCACACCTTAAAATATTTCAAACTTGGTTTTCTGCCTGTCAAGAGTTCAAATGGACACTTATCTTTATGCTTCATGGGAATCCTATTCAAAATATGGCATGCCGTATTCAAGGCTTCCCCCCACATAAATTTAGGTAATCCACAATTCTCTAATAAACTATTAATCATATCTTTAAAAGTTCTATTTTTCCGTTCAGCTACTCCATTTGATTGTGGTGAATAAGGAGATGTTTCCTCATGTACTATACCATATTTTTGGCATTCCAGTACAACTAAATTAGAAGTATACTCTCCTCCCCTATCAGACCTTAACCTCTTAATTTTCTTGCCAGTTTGATTCTCTATTTCATTCTTAAAAATTAAGAATTTTCCAAGAGCTTCATCTTTACCCTTAAGTAGATACACATAACAGTATTTAGAATAATCGTCAATAAAAGTGATAAAGTATTTTTTCTTATCACGTGTAAGCACTCCATTAAACTCACAAATGTCGGTATGAACTAAATCAAGTAATTCTGAATTTCTATCAATTGAATGATATGGTTTTCTTACTTGTTTAGTAGTAGCACATACCATACATTTCTTAGTTTTATCAATAGAGTGCTTAGGAATTAAATTTAAATTCATCATTCTTTTCACAGAATCTAAATTAACGTGACCCAAACGATAATGCCATAAAGTTGAAGAATCACAATTCTCAGATACATAATTTAATTCTAAATAATCAACCATAACTTTAAAAAGTCCATCAGACAAGTAACCCTTGCCAATAAAAGTTCCACCAAATAAAATTACAACTTTATTTAATTTAAAAGACAACTCATAACCCTCCCTAACTAGAATGGAACCACTAACGATGTTCCTTCTAATTTCGGGAACGTGATGCACTCCATGCAAAGAAAGAATTTTTCCCGAAGGAAATTTAATTTCTACTTTTCCAATTCCTTGCACACTTGCAGCACTTGTGTTCCCCATCATCACTGTTCTTCCAACCGCAGGCTGATAAGAAACAAAGAGCGATTTATCAGCACATACATGCACATTTGCTCCCGTATCTATTAGCCACTCATTGGAATTATAAATAGTGAAAATTTGAGGATTAATAGAAACGTACCCATTAGAACTAGTCCCTCCAGTCACCATGTTGACTTGAGGTCCCCCAGATTGAGCCTTGGCCTTTTTATTAGGACACAATTTGGCCCAATGCCCCATCTGTCCACAGTTCCAGCATGGTCGGTTTGCCTTTGGTTTCTTTGCAATTTTTAGTTTGGCCTTTATTGGTTTAAAAGATGATGGTTGCTTATTTTTAGAGTTATGTGCTTGCTTTCCCCCAGTTATAACATGAGCCTTCGGTTGAAATTCAACAGGCGCAATATAACCCGCTTTCTTATGTTCCTCCTCAACCGTAATGGAATGCATCAAAGATTTCCAAGTGATCTTTTTCATTTTATGTTTTAAAGTCATACCAAAATCTTCCCATGATTTGGGAAATTTTTCTATGACCGCCATCACTTTAAATTTTTCAGGCAATTCCATGTCCGCTTCACGAAGAGAATGTAAGGTAAGCTCAAATTCTTGTGTCTGTTCTAAAACCGATTTTCCTTCTTTCATGTCAAATCGTAGGAATTTAGAAACAATATATTTTTCAAGACCATGGTCATCAGTATTATATTTTCTATCTAACTCATCCCAAAGGTCTTTGGCCGTCCCATGGAGGGTACAATAGACATCAAATAACATGTCGGATAAACCCATGAGAATCATGCCTTTTGCAATTTCGTCCCTCTCAAGCCAAAGTCCATGACGTTCAAGACTTTTGGGATCAGATTCGACAACCGGAGGACACACCGTCATAATCACTGAAAGCAAGCCCTTGGTGATTAACCAAATTTTCATGCGTTGTTGCCAACGCTTGAAAAAATGCCCAGAAAATTTTTCGGGCATCCCGGTTAAATCCACCCTGTGCGAGCCCGTAGCAATATATTCAGGTGTGCCTTGTGAATTAGTGACAGACACAGAATTATCATTTTCAGGGGCGACAAAAACATGCTCTAAACCAACAGTTTCATTGTTAACAGCATTTTCCAAGTTTGCCATTTTTGGATTTTCCAAAACTCGAGAAATAATATCTTTCTTCAAGATTGTTAGAGATATTGATATTAAAATTGCGAGTTTAACCAGATAAAAATCCCGAGTTTAAACAAATCACCAGACAAACCGCCAAATGCAAGAAAAGAAAATAATAATAATTAGTATAAATTAAAATAATTAAAAAGTAAGGATAAGAAAACTTATCGCAGGATCGTCCGTTAAAACGGACTGGCCTTGAAGAAAGATAGCCCCCGTATCCCGATAGCTATTCGGACGGGTCTGGCTAGCTCGCTCCCAGGATAATCCTACCACGTTTCAGACTCGTAGCTACCTTGACTGAAACCTTCGACCGTTGCCAAATTTGCCAAGAAATAGAGTTGACTTGAACTCTTATGAAAGTATAATATATAAATTATACGTACTCTTGGAATGGACAAACTAGTGGAGTAAAGACCCACTCAAATCAAAAAATGATTTACGTATGAATGTATGATGATCTAAAGAAAATGATAGAGAAAGGATGTTTTCTATTCTTTTGTGTGTAAGAGCTCTCCACAAAGCAATATGCAGAAGTGGCCTTTATACTTCATCTAACGGAATAAGGAGGTAGGGGAATAATAGTTCAACGGAAATCAGAATTTCAAAGCATGAAACGGAAAACCACTTTAATGCTCATCCAAACCTCTACATTAACCACCATTAAGATATGTATGGATGTAACGCAGGACCAAGCATCGTATTTCAATTTTGAATTCCAAATTGAATACTGCTTTGCACGTTTTATTTTATGATTTAAAATAAAACTGTTCAGATTCAGCAAGTCACAATTTTTGTCAAAACGCAAGCAATTCCTTGATACATTTTAAATGATACTTGAACAATGTTCCTTATCATATAAAATAATTTACAACGGTAGCTTTTACTTATAAGCGACAAAAAATTTATCATATTAAAACATCACTTTACCACCTTTACAACTATGGATTATTTTATTAATTATAATCCAATCATGAAAGTTGTACTTTGATGTATAATAAATCATTTCCAAATCATACTCTATACATTTATCCTCAGGACTCATAAATGAGCCCCCCTAAAATATATATTTTCCCATCATATTTCCAACAGTTTGTTTGGTTGGGGACGGTCTCCTACTACGTCTAAAAGAAGTAGAGAGGATTCTGATATGCCCACTTATTCTGAATTGCTCAATCGTGTTGGAGAGCTTTCAGGCACGGTTGAGATGATGAAAAAGTTGTTGATTGAGAAGAACATCATTCCTCCCATGTCAAATGTTCCATCAGATCATTCTTCAGGAGCTCTTAATCGTGGCTCATCATCTGCCGGACAAGGCCAACATGTTGACGCCTATGGAGACTCGACTTCTGAATATGATGATATTGCGTAGAAGTTACATTTATATAAGACATAATAAACATTTCGTAATGTGGCACTAGTTATGGTTTAAGATTGTTTGACTACGTCTAGATCTGTTGAAATTTAATATTTTAGTTTGAACGATGATGCTTATCTCTACTTTTCTATTATATATACATTCCATTGTTCACTTTGGTTACGATACTTGTTTCATTTAAGAAGTACATTTAATAATTAAATAGTTTTATCTACATATTATATTAATAGTTACGCTTGCATAAAACTTTTCCCCACACATCGAAAGTACTTACCTACACATAAACATAATTTTTACCCACACATAAACATAATATTTAGCCACACATCTTATATGTCCACGTGGCAGTGTTCAAGACCCGTAAACATGACACGTCAGCGTACACGTCACCTTTGGATATCCACGTCAGCGGCCACTTCAGCAGCCACATGGATTTCCACGTCACATGCCATGTCACCGTCTCATGGCTCAAATGACCAATAGTAATACATATAATAGTGTTTTAGCTACACATACATGTGTAGCTATAAACACGACAATTACCCACACATAATTTTAAGTGTAGCTAATAACTTTTTCCAACGGTCATTTACCCACACAACCCAACACTTAATATATGTGTGGGTAAATATTATTACCCACACATATTTATTGTTTTACCTACACATGCATGTGTGGGTAAATGACCTATTTTCTTGTAGTGAGCCTCCAACGCGAGGAAGCGGTCCAGCTCAGCTGGTCGCTGACTCACTCTCCCTTATGGGAGGCCTCAGGTTCGAAACTCAATGAAATGAGTTTCAGCCCAATTTACTCCAGGTCCCCCAGACCCCCTCCCCCAGACGTCCCCTGGAATAAAAAAAGCCTCCAACACACAAGATATTAAAGCCAAAGTCACGTATGGGTTTCAAATTTATTACGTAGTATCACTGTTCTAAAAATCGGCCTAGGCGGACCGATTAATCGGCCTAGGCAGCTCTAACTGTAGAGGCCTAGCCGGCCTAGTCGGTCAAAAAATCGGCCTAGTCGGCCGCCTAGGCGCTAGGCGCCCCTCAACCGTCCGACTAGCGCCTAGCGAGTTTTAGAACAATGCGTAGTATATTAGAATTATACTCCGGACTAGAGCGTACCAAATTCCTCTATAAGTACCCATAATAGACGACACTATGATATGATACTTCACAAATTTCTCTTCTATTATCTAAAATCCATATGATTTTTAGGGGAATTATAGCCAATGGCGGATCCAGAAGTTTTTCAAAGCGGGGGCACGACCACATGTATAGGAATAGCTCGGATCAAGTGCATCATTGGTTAGCTCTGCCCCTGAACTGGTTTGTTCTTTCTAGTCTATTTAGATTATTATTTTTAGCTGAAAATAGATTTTCAATATCGATTTCAAGGACATATATAGATTATAGGTCTAGATTTGAACCCACTAAGACCTCAAGGACATATCGATATCAAAATACTACCATGTTAAAAAATGAAGTACTGCGTATAATTTAATTTTGTTATTTCATCCTTCAATACAACTTCATCTAATTAATAATATGATTTTATATATCTATCACGAATTGACAAATTTTTTATGGTATATTTTTTTTTCAAGAAATTGGTGGTGACATCATGTATCGATTCATGTTGGGCGACCCCAATATCTTTTGGGACTAAGGCTTGAATGTTGTTGTTTTATATTTTTTTCAAGAATTTTTTTTTCCATCTATTATATTATGTTGATCCCACATATTAAAAGTTTTGTCATATCTTATACCTCTTCTCCCTTTAGACCAACATGATTCATACTTGGTCAAAAAATTATCAATGCCACATTTCAAAGAAAGTTTAATGATCATAATCAACTACTACGTATACTTGTTTAACTGCATGGAATCAATCCATCACAACTTATTTGTCATTTACATTTTCACTACAATTTGTATGCTCTTCGATGAAATTATCCGTACATATATTTTTTTATCCGAGAAGCGAGGGCACGATTTTCATCTTAAGTACTAATACTAAATTTCGGGATCGAAAACGGGGGCACTTGCCCCCCTAGGACCCCCCGTAGGTCCTCCACTGCTTATAGCAACATGCCTTTACACGCTCAATCATACTACATACCTTTGTTCTTCTTACTATTTTTAGGGCGTTCAATTTTTTTCTTGTTTTATACTGTCCGTTTTTTTAGTTGCAACATAGAAAATTTTACATTATTTACATGTTCTAGTTTGACTACATTTTATATATGAGGTTTTTACAAAAATATTACCAAAATAAAACTTATTTACGACTAATAGTTACTACAATGTAGGGTCATGGTAACTTAAGTTTAAAAATTCAACATAGGTGACTATGATTCTATTACTACTCTTCTCAGTAGTCACATTTTTGTAAACAATCTTTGTTTTAGTCATAAATATCTTTATTTTATTACTACTCTTTATTATTTCTTTATTTATCAATGTATGCATTTTATTTTTGAAAATATTGTTGAATTCTCTCATTACAAATTTTCCTAATGTGATTTTTAACGTAACTTTTTTTACTAATAGAAAATTAAATAAAATAACAGTCAAATTTTTGTGTTGGCCAGCATGAAAATGACAATGCATGTTACAACTAAAAAAGAACGAAAGAAGTAATAAAGAAATATTTGTGTGATATACATTATATTGGTTCTCACTTTTTCATTAGCTACACACATACAATGTCTCTCAAAAGAAAAAGTGAAAATATCCCGTTCAGTCTACTTTTTTAAGTGTATTTCATATATGTCTCAAGCCCATTTATTTTTTACTTATAAACTTTGAGATTTTTTCTTTTAACTTATTTATTTCGAAAATAATCTAAATATTAAATCACCAGACTTCCAAATTCTAATCTTTCCCTTATGTCGACAGAGCTCTTGTCTCGTATGTTCTCCGCTTCTTCACACAATCTCCTCCACCATTATTCCGTAGGCTAAATAGATTGTCGCATATACTGGTATTGGTCGAGGGATTTGGGGATGGCTGGATCCAACGATCCACATCCTATCCTCAATCCATGAAGAAGCTAGGGCAGAGAAACAAACGACGATCTGCTCAAGTTTGTTGTTGACTCACACTGGTCGATCTGCTCAAATTCTATTTCGAGGTATTCTATTAGTTAAGAACCGAGAAGAGTTTGGTTTTATGTTATACCTAATACTGCAATATTAGATTTTGAATAATTAAGCCATACAAAGTTTTTGTATTCTATTGTTTTGTTGCTTTTTGCTTGTATTTTAAATTTGGTTAGGTACACCCCCACCCCCACCCCAAATTTTTATTTTTACTTTGTTCTCGTTGTATTTTGAGAGGGTATACCCTTTCGGGAGAGGTTTTGGCCTAGTCCCCTTCTTCCTTTTGTATCTCTTCCCTTGTATTAATAATACTCACTAAATTTTCTCTGGCATTTGCCCCACTAATTTTGGTGGTTGACCTACTGGGATTAAGAAAAGACTATTTCTGGAGTGAAATAGAAGCCTGTTTTTTTTAGATACAAGGGAAAGTGAATTTATAACTTGTAGATTTCTAAGATTTCACTTTTCACCAGCTCGAGTGTCCATTCGATGGTGTACTCCTTAGATGTTTGGGTGTACTCTTGGAATGAGTGTCCCTTCCCCACCCAGGTTTGGATATCCAAACCTTCGAGGTTTCAACGAACACAAATTTGGGAAACTCATTTCATTGGTGGGGAAAGGACACTGAAGCAGATCAACCTTCGAGGACACACCAGATTGGGTTATGTTCAGTCAAAATCAATAAAGATCCTCATAAATAGAGTCAAAACACATCATATCAGTGTTGATGAAGAGGATGAAGTGACTTCTAAGCCGAAATATTCCGTCTATGATCGGATGGGGGGGGGGGCAAGATATGGCCCGCCATTTTTACGGAATTTGGCCAAATCCAAAGAAGATCATGAAGAAGACATTACAAGAAAGGCTTGCAATGATCCCAACAATTGGCAATGAATACATCAAGCGCTATGTGCAGCCCTTTTACGCTTGATGACCAAGTAATTAGGAGTTTACTTGGATCATTACAAAGGACCTTATGAAAAAGATCATGAAGATGACATTACAAGGAAGTCTATCCTATGCTTTCATGCTTATGGAACAATGCTCCAATAATGTCCCCTAATATCAAGCGCTCATCCTCGGATTCTGATAGCAGTGGACATGAAGCAGACAAGAGTCAATATCTATGGTGACTCAAAACTAATCATCAATCAAGTTCTTGGGATTTATGAAGTGAGGAAGACTGAACTACATCCTTACAATAAAAAACGCAAGAACACTCATAGGATGGCTATAATTGAGATGCCAATTACCACGATTTATGGTACTGAAAAAGAAGATTGAAGACATGCGCTCATTAATTATCTTACCGATGGAAGATTGCCTGAAAATCCCCGCAAGAAGTTGGACTTGAAGAGACGTTCACCACGTTCATTTACTATAAGGGTACACTTTATCGAAGATCATTCGATGGTGTACTCCTTAGATGTTTGAGTGGAGATGAAGTCTTACATGCAACAGAAGAAACAATTTCAGGAGTATGTGGAGCTCATCAATCCGGTCCTAAGTTGCACTTGCACATCACGAGGACGAGATATTACTGGCCGACTATGGTAAAGGATTAATTGCATGGACTATGCTCGAAAATTCTGTGATTACATTATTTGGGTCCTTTAAAAATATTCAATCAATTTAACTATAAATTAAGTCTTTTGAAGAATGGACTGGTCCTAGAAATTTCTCTATTTTGAATCTATTATGAAATAATGGCCCAATGAATAAGAGGCATGATCCAGCTTATGAAAAGGACAACAAATCTAGCTAACAAATATGTCCATATGCATGAAAAATAGCTACAAAACTTGTTAAGAAAGTTATCCAGATACATTGCATAAGTGCTTATTTTTCTAGGGAATGCAAGCAAATAGATTTTCAAAACTCTAAAGCATATTTTATTATCACCTTCACACCTATAAATATGGGTCTTAGTTGAGAGAAAAAGAGGAGAGAATTCCTAGACAGAAATGACGTAGAGAAGCTTTGAAGAACTCCTGAGAGGCTATGAAGAATTCCTAAGAAGGGGAAGAAATCAAACTACAAATTTTATCAAGTCATAAAACGGCCCTTTTTTTTAAGTTTAAGCTATTTGAAAATCGTAGGCCCTTCAAGCTGAATTTTACATTCAAGAACATTTGAAGGTTCAAAGAACCAAGCTTTGATGATTTGAAGATTTAGAGAACAACGGTTCCAAGGTATGAAGAATGAAGATTTGAAGATTTGAAGATTTCAAGAACGAAGATTTGAAGATCCGTAGAACGTTCAAATATTTGAAGAAGTAAACATTTAACTTTAAATTAAATTCTTTAATTATATTTATTTCAAAATGGAAGTGAAGCAACAGAGAATTCATATTTAGAGATTGAACCCCATATTTTCATATATTTTGATTTGCGATCGATTTTAAGTTAAGACTTAAAATTTGTTTCACAGTAACAACCTAAAAACATCAGCAAAAAAATATACTACCTCCGTCCCACTAAGATTGAGACAATTCGGTTTACGATACTTGACCGACGATAAAGCAAACACATCCCTGTCCGCTCTCAAATTATTTTTAGAAAAAGAAAATTATATATTCAGAAACTACATTAAAAGTTTTACAAAGTCGCAAAAACCTGAATCAAATTTGATAAAAATTTGATATATAAAGTAAGAGATTAAAATTGATTTGTGTTGATAAAGTGAATAATGTCTGGGACAATCTTAGTGGGACCAAAGGAGTAAATGTTACGTTGTTTGCTTGATGTTTTCAAATTTGGAAATGATGCATGAGAAAGGGTGAATCAGCAATTTTAATTAGCCGTATTTAATTTGTCCATCCAAATATAGAATATACTACCTCCGTTCTTAAATAAGTGTAACATGTTGAATTTTACACTATTCGAATGTTCTACTTTGACAACATTTTATTGATTAATGTATTAATATATATTTTTGAAAAAATATTGTTACATTTGCCTTTTTGTAAATTTTCAAAATCCTTTTTTTATTAATAGAGAATTATACGTAGCATATATTAATAGTAAAAATTGTGTACCAGCAATTGAAAAAAATTGATTGTTTTTTTTTAAACAAAAAGGCAAATGTAACCACGAGCATAAGTCCGCAACGGCGCAACCGGTAGCCCTAGCTTGCTAACATGTTAGCTAGTACTCCGTATTGTAAAACAAGTATATAGCAGGTAGCAATATGGGCTTTATTATTAGTATCAATATACTACGAAACAGAAGGCCGGTAATGCGTATACATGCATATACATCCCCGGAAGTACACATATACATATACATATGTTCTGATCGGTATAACTTTAATTTCACTTGTACAAACATCCCCAGAATTGAAGTACGCATTTGGAGAAAGCTTATAAAATGGTCGCATCCTAACTACTCGTCCCACTTTATTTGTAAGTAAGCTGCAGCACACACACACACACATGCTAAGTCTTATTCATCATGAGACGATTTAAATGCCACCACTCCTCATGCTCCTCCGTTCGTACCTAGCATATCAATGATTGTATAGTTTACATTAACATATACATGCATGCATGCATACATATAATCATCACGGGAATGCATTGCATATATGTTACTCCCTCCGTCCTAGGGAGAAGTTCCCAGGTTGACTTTCACACATATTAAGGAAATAAAGTTACTGAGGGGTAAATTTTACTGTTTGACACTGTTTCGACACTGTTTGACACTGTTTTGCACTGTTTGGCACTGTTTTGATGGAGGATAACTTTCCATTTAGAGAAATGAGAACTTTTTGTTGGGACTGTCAAAAAAGGAAAGTGGGAACTTGTCCCTGGGACGGAGGTAGTAATTTTTAAAGGAATGAAATAATATGTACCAAGTTATATACTTCTTTTGTTCTTTACCAGTTACAACCTTATGATTTTTGCTCTATTCACACACCTTACTTTGATTGCGTACGATTTACAAATAATTAATAAAGTACGTATATGATAATAATAATCAAACTAGTATGTATCAAATGTTATTAAATTTCTATTAAAGTAAATTTTCAAAGTATCAACTTTTTATAATGTTTACTACTCCGTAATACGTAATTAAATACGTAGTATTACTATTGTATTACAGTCAAAGTTGTACGTTGAAAAACGTGAAAGTCAAACTGTTGCAACTTTTAAAGGACGATATATTATACTAATAGGGATGGTAGCTCCACTTACATTTATTAACCGTGGTTCATGGGTGATGATTTGGATCTGGTCCACCTGGGGCTTGTCTATCAATCATGATTCGGTGGCTCAGTGATCTTCTTTTATATTCTTCAACAATCGTAGATAGGTTGAGTTCCCCCAGATTAGTAACCTGGATGGCATCCTCCTCCTCCTGGGGAGTAGTTTGAAAGAAGTGATCATTCTTATTGATGCGTGCTGCCTTAGAGAGAAATAAGCACATGAAAAACACATAAACAAGTAGTGCTTTTGATGATGAACATGAACTCAGATAAATCTTTTCCATTTCGGTGATGGAAGCATGCGAGAGCGATGATATGGGAAGCCCGTTTTTCCTATTTATAGACAGCCTTCCAGGTTCGCTATGGAATCAAGAGCGGTGATATGGGAAGCCCATTTTTCCTAACTTATTCCTACGTACCCTAAATGTCAAACGTGCCTTCTTTTGTCAAATAAAAGTGTTCTTTGTCCGCCACCGTTGTATCTCAGATTCTCAGCACATTATTATTGGTCAATAATTTTATTACACTCCGTAATTATTTGAGAGATTGCCCTAAATAGGACTAAAAGAAGGTTGAATTGCAAAAATAGGACACAATGTTTTAAATTTCCTTAATAGGACTAATTATTTGGATTTGGACAAAAATAGCCCTATTAGTTACTGCTGCATCGTTCGCTAGGTGCGTCCCTATGCTGAACGCCGTCTCTGCCCAGGTAAGTTTCTTCTACAACTCTTCTATTTTTATTCTTCCCTTTGATTTCCAAATTTTTATTAATCTTGGGTAATTTATTTTAAAAGATTCATATTATTGTTCTAATCACTTCAATCTGAAAATTTTTTCTCCTTCTTTTGAACACTGATTTGTGATATCAAAGACATCAAAGACAAAAGCATGCCATTTTTAGATGCAAAAATATGTCATTTTGAGATTATACCATGACATTTTCAAAGACAAAAACATGCCATTTTTAGATCCAAAAACATGTCATTTTGAGATTACAACATGACATTTTCAGATTAAAAATTATGACATTCTCATATCATAAAAATGTCATTATTTCTAAAAAATGTCAAAATCATTGCATTTTCAAACATATAATACTGTCATCTCCACAAAAATTGCCATCATGTCTACAGGGTGTATATATGGCTATGGACGGATATTTCTTATTGTCATTGTAACCTTGTTACAAGATATAACTTTTGGATAAAAAAAGATGTATGGTGTATTTTAGCTAGTGATTAAATAATTAAAATAATTAAAGTGTACAAGTGATTTGTTTTAAAACAGTACTTTAATTCTATCATAGCACATAATTAAAAATAAAGGAAAGTACACGATCAAATTGGTTGATCGATCGTTTTCATATGATTCACAATTCAACATGATCCCTTATTTATAGATCAAATGGTGTCTTATTAAAAGTTGTAATCATTCGTTTCAATCATATTGAAATTATAACGTATGTGCGTAGCTAATGGGCTATCAAACCATTACAAACAGCCGGCCATAAATTAAAGGACATGAGTACATGATCCCTTCATGTAATCATGTGTACATACATACACATCCATAAATTTGTTCGATAAAATTCACATGTGCACTTATTATGTGCGCATACAAAGATTATCATAAACTAAGTAACACTTATTTTATAAATAGAGAAAATTATCTTAGGTAATGACTAAAACTCATTCAGTTTCCTAATAAATAATAGGAAACTTGTTCCCAATTTCTTTAATCTTTATAAATAATAGGACCACCCTACAATTTCTCATGAGCAGTAAAATTGTTCCCAAATTTATAATAACAATATAATATTTTAAAGATTCTCATTATTTAGTTAAAATAATGTCGCATATACTGGTATTATTGGTCGAGGGCTTTGGGGGTGGCTGGACCCAACGATCCACATCCTATCTGGCCAGAATCCCTGAAGAAGCTAGGGTAGAGAAACAAACGACGATCTACTCAAGTTTGTTGTTGACTCACACTAGTCGATCAGCTCAAATTCTATTTCGAGGTATTCTATTAGTTAACGAGCGAGAAGAGTTTGGTTTTTATGTTATTATACCTAATACTGCAATATTAGATTTAGGGGGTGTTTAGAACTGATTCTGATTCTGCTTCTTTTTTAAAGTAGAAGCAGAATCAGAATCAGTTTTCAGAAGCTGGTCTCCCCCAACTTCTAAAAAAACTGATTCTAAGAGTAAATTAGACACCAGAATCACTTTTGCACTTTCACCTAAACACTCCAACTTCTGTTTCTGCTCCCTGAAGGAGCACAAGCACTTTTAAGAATCAGATCCAAACACCCCCTAGTTTTTGAATAATTAAGCCATACAAAGTTTTCGTATTCTATTATTTTGTTGCTTTTTGCTTGTATTTTAAATTTGGTTAGGTGCACCCCCACCCCCACCCCAAATTTTTATTTATAGTTTGTTCTCGTTCTATTTTGAGAGGGTATACCCTTTCGGGAGAGGTTTTGGCCTAGTCCCCCTCTTCCTTTTGTATCTCTTCCCTTGTATTAATAATACTCAACAAATTTTCTCTGACATTTGCCCCACTAATTTTGGTGGTTGACCTACCGGGATTAAAAAAAGACTATTTCTGGAGTGAAATAGAAGCTTATTTTATTTTTTTAGATACAAGGGAAAGTGAATTTATAACTTGTAGATTTCTAAGGTTTCACTTTCCACCAGCTCGAGTGTCCATTCGATGGTGTAGTCCTTAGATGTTTGGGTGTACTCCTGGAATGAGTGTCCCTTCCCCACCCAGGTTTGGATATCCAAACCTGAGTGGGGAAGGAACACTGGAGCAGATCAACCTTCGAGGTTTCACCTTCGAGGTTTTAACACAAATTTGGGAAACTCATTCCAGAAGCTGGTGGGGAAAGGACACCGAAGGAGATCAACCTTCGAGGACACACCGGATTGGGTTATGTTCAGTCAAAATCAATAAAGATCCTCATAAATAGAGTCAAAACACATCATATCAGTGTTGATGAAGAAGGTGAAGTGACTTCTAAGCCGAAATATTCCGTCTTTGATCGGACGGGGGGGGGGGGGGGGGGGGGGCAAGATAAGGCCCGCCATTTTTTACAGAATTTGGCCAAATTCATAGAAAATCATGAAGAAGACATTAGAAGAAAGTCTTGCAATGATCCCAACAATTGGCAATGAATACATCAAGCGCTATGTGCCCCTTTTACGCTTGATGACCAAGTAATTATGAGTTTACTTGGATCATTACAATGGAGCTTATGAAGAAGATCATGAAGAAGACATTACAAGGAAGTCTATCGTATGCTTTCATGCTTATGGAACAATGTGATACACGTGTAATTTCCGTGTGTGTGTTAACGTTTTTAGTTAGTTTTTGTTGTTTAATATTTCGGAAATTACACACTTTTGGTGTAATAGTTATGTTTGTAATTTAGTTGTAATTCATTTAGATTAGTATCATTCTGAGCTTAAACAGGTCCAAGATCAATCAAATGATCATTGGTGAAGGAGGGTGCAAGAGTACAAGACAAAAAGAAGGCAAATCCCTGATTTTTGACCTGTATCCGGTCGAGTATACCATATACTCGATCAGGTACCAACTTGAGTTTCAATCAGATCAATCAGGAAACAAAGGGACGTGCATGGGAAGATTTGGCCACGATCAGTTGTCATACCCGATCGGGTACACCGACACACCCGATCGGGTATGCCTTTTATTTTTACCCTGGAATCGATCGAGTAAAGCTCGAATTTAACATTTTACACATACCCGATCGTGTATACACTAGTACTCGATCGGGTACCCGAACTGCACTCCCAAAAAGCCTATAAATACACCCCCTTCCCTTCACAATTAGGAACCAATTCATATATACTCTTAAGCTCAGTTTAGAATAGCATTTCTTTATATTTTTCTAGCATGTTTAGTCTCCAAATGAGGAGCTAAACTTCCATTTCTTGGTATTGCTCTTGAAGCTTGTTGATTATTAAAGTTGTGAGTTATTTTCTTAACTTCTTTCCTTGAATATTAATTCTTCCTTTAAATACTATTTCTATATCAATGTTGGGGAGTGTTACTAAGATGACAATTAGTTAACATCTTGATATTAACTATAGTAGGATTCATCTTCTTTAATATTCTTCCTTGAGTATTAATTAATTCCTATTCATATTTCATATTAATATTTTGAACATTACTTAAAGGATCAACTAGTTTTGTTTAATATATTACGGAGTAATTATTACTAGAAACAATCAACGAACCGATGGTTAATCGTTGATAGTTTCACAAGTAAGTAACTTCGGTTTATTAATGCACGGTCGTGGTTAATAAACTTAAGAAGGATTAATTTTGTTGGTTAAACCGAAACCGTTGTGTTGAGGTTATCAATCTCAATTGATTTCATCAAGGAGTTAAGAGATTAAATGCTACTATCAAGTCAGTATATGGCGTTGTTCTATACTTGACTTATAGTAAGAGTTATTAATGAACAGTCGTTGTTAATAACTACCCTCGATGAATTGGATATACTCCTCGATTGAGTATTCGAGAGGAGATAAGTTATAGATATAACAATGATCGACTAAAATATATCAACAAGTGGAAAGTAGCAATGCCAAGTCCCTTTTATTCTTGAATTAAATCACATATAAGTCGTTTATCTTCGTGTTTAAATTAATTAAATCACTCAATCCAAACCCCCCCTTTATTTACTAGTTACATAAAAAAAATAGTTATTCCTTTCCCTGTGGATACGAACTCTACTTCACCTATACTATGTATAAGTGTTAGTATTGAATATTATTTTGACGCACCGTGACAAAGTGTCCGTCACAATGCTCCAATAATGTCGCTGAATATCAAGCGCTCATCCTCGGACTCGTGATAGCAGTGGACATGAAGCAGACAAGATCAGAGTCAATATCTATGGTGACTCAAAACTAATCATCAATCAAATTCTTGGGATCTATGAAGTGAGGAAGACTGAACTACATCCACTAGTAAAAAACTGTCTTACAGTGACACTTTTTTTGTGACACTTTTTTTTAAGTGTCAATAGTAGACGACTTAACTCATTACTAACATATATGTGTCATTAACGTGTGATACTATAATATCAATAAATATTCGTGATACTAAATATTAATTTAACATTATTTTTTGATTTTTTTACATCAATTTTCCTCCCAAACCTAAATCTCCCTCCACAATTTTTATTCCCCAAATAATTCGATTCCCCCCAAAAATATCCTCGATTAGCCCATTACTTATCCGCTCTTTCACTCTTTCATACATCTGCGCCGCCCTCATTCTAACCCTAATTTACATCGTTCGTTCATCATATCCAATTCGTACAAGCTCTGTCATCTCTCTGGACTCTCCTAGGACGAAGCTCGGCCGTCTCTCTGGACTGTCCTACGACGAAGCTCGGCCGTCTCTCTGGACTCTCCTTAGCTTTAACGACGAAAAGGTAAACTTCACACATATTTTCCCTCTGAATTGAGTCGTTGCTTAGTTCGGATACATTGTTCAATTTGAGTGATGAGCGGCGTACATGAGTGGTTTGCCCCAAATGTTTCGTAATCTGGGGCTCTCTCTTTTTTAATTATCAGCGGCCACCCTTTTTTATTATTATTTGGGCGTCTGATTGGTTTTTTTCTTCCTGAAAAGCAAAATACCTGGATCGTTTATCACTTAGCCACAACCCTAGGTCCTCCCTTCTTCTAGTTATCAAGAAATTTTCTGTTTTTGGTTATTTAAATGTTCCATTTTAAAAAATTAAATGTTTAATTTTTTGGTTATTTAAATTTTAAATGATCTGGTTAAACTATTTAAAGTTATTAACTAGTGTTAAATTTCGTCCAACCTTTCTGATCTTTGCATGTTTGTCATTTATGTTTATTGTTTACCTTTTTTAATCAACCTTTTACTTTTTTTTGCGAAAATTACCTTTTACTTATTAAAAGTTATGTTTTGAACTATTTAAAGTTATTAAATAGTATTACTTTTCGTTCAGCCTTTCTAATCTTTTTGTGTTTGTCATTTATGTTCATTGTTTAAGTTACTTTTTAACTTTTTAGTTTTTATATACTGATATGTACCATTTATCATATTACCTTATTAATTCATTTGTTTAATAAGTAATACTACGTACTTTAGTAGTTTAATAGTTCTGTTATGCATTTACCACCTTACTAATTTATTTGGTATTTCAGTTTTATGTTATTTTGACTTGAATATTTTATTGTTATGATGATGGGATTTATAATAGAGTAAATTTTGATGTGACTATGGAATGAGTTCTTTTCTTGTTTCAGTAAGTGGTTATTGTAATTTAGCATTTCGTTTATGTATCAATTTCTGTTTAGCAATAATTGAACATTAAATATTCGTTATATTAAGACTAACCCTAAATTTGTTTCTATTCTTATAATAATTCCAGGTATGTCAAAGAGCAAACAAGATATGGATGTGGAAGAGTTTGAAGCAGACCTTGAGAGTGATTAGCAATGTTCTAATCTTCTCTCTTTGATAGGAAAAAGAACTTGGACCTGCTGTGAAACAGATAGACCGAGCTGATACATGACTATTGGGTAGGGAAAAAAGGATGAAGGCTATGATGATGAAGTGAAGGAAATTGCTGAAAAAATAGTTAGCGTAACTGATTTTAAAGTTCATCATGTTCTATTTTGACTTAATAAAAACTTCAAAGTGTAATTCAGAAAAGTTTATTTTGCTGAAAAAAATTAACGAAAGTGCTCTTGTAGTTTCTTGCTAGTTCATGTTTTCTGACTTTGTTGTTTCTTGCACTAGGCATTCAAAGCACAACATGATATGTCTTGTAAGAGATGCCATTTTGGTTTTACTTTATTTTCATAGAATTGCATATAGTTTTATTGCAGAAATTGAAGTCAAATCATGCCTGCTCCTAGTACATTTCTGTATTGAATGGTTGCAACCCAAAAATATGTAAGCTTAGTACTTGGGAACTGTAGAAACTAGACCTGACATTTTCTGTTTTGTCAGAGTTTGTAGAAGGTTTACTTGAAACAGATAAATCATTGTGGGATGAATTGGAGATGCACATTTTAGTTTAAGAACTTGAGTATAAGGTGTTTGAATGCTATAAACCTAGTACTTGAAACTAGAAAAATCATAAGATGTCATTTTAATAAATCTTTGATCAATGTTTATTTGCCTTTTTTGGCAGAAGAACTTGACAAAGAAGCTACAGTGGTGAGTGATTTACCCTTGGAAAATTATGGTGTAGTACTGGTGAAAGTAGGAGTAGGAAGTAGGCCTCAAATGAATCAAAAGACTCAAGCAGCGAGAAATTTTAGCATGCAAAGAACAACAAAGTCTCTCGTAGAAAAGAGAAAGGACCAGAGCCCCAACATGTAGATGTTTTCGATCTTAGTTGACAAGTGTATGGGTGATGGATACACAATAAAGCATGACGCGGAAGTGTTTGGATTCCCAACCAAATCTGTTTTTTAACAAGGACATCTGCAAGATAGTGCTCAACTTTGACAAGGCTAATAACTCTGTCATAGAAATATGGTGCAAGTACCGTTCAAGTAATTTGTATCTACCTTTAGATGTTTCTATAAGATACTTTCACAAACTTGTCAATTGTAGGCACCTACATGAGAAAATGATTGACGATGGTGGAGAAATGCCCGTGCAATTTTGCACTTCTGCTGCTATACCTAGCCCTACAAAACAATCTGAAGAAGCGATGACAAGAAGATCTCAATACATAGCGGATTTACTTGGCGTAGGCTTGGTCGGGCAGATTACACTTATCCCATATAATTCAGGGTAAGTTGAAGCAACAAAGCTAGTATATACTCCCTCCGGTTCTTTTTAAACTTCAGTGTTTGACTTCACAGTTATTAAGGAAATAAAGTTGACTTTACTGTAGAGTACACTGTTGAGACACTGTTTGGCACTGTTGAGACACTGTTTGGCACTGTTGAGACACTGTTTGGCACTGTTTAACACTATTTAACACTGTTTTGATGTAGATTTCTTCGCCAAATAAGGAAATAAGAAAGTGTGAAGTTTATTTTGGACCGTCCCAAAAAGGAAAGTGTGAAGTTTATTTAGAACCGGAGGGAGTATTATTTTTTTGTAACTAAGAATGGTTGTTTTTGGTACTATGAATTATTTTTGGTATCGGGTTAGGCAGATCACACATATTAATGTGGTACTAAGATTTATTATTTTTAACTTTTTAACCAAATTGTTTAATTATATGCAGCGATCACTGGGTTTTAGTTGCTATTGACATCGCGTTTGGGATTGTATACTACTTGGACTCGCTTGGGGATATTCACTGGGTATGACGATTTTGTTGGATTATTTCCAATTAATATGGCCTTAGGACCAATAATAATGTGTCCTATATTTATGTAATATATATATAATTATGTATTATATATATATATGTATTATTTGATGGAAATAATACTTAAAGGGTACCATTGTGGTAACACCCTTTAGGACAATATGAAGAGTTGTGACTATTATTGACTTATTCCCATTATAAATACTCTTTGCTCTCCTTTGTTGAAACTCACGTACAAACACAACAACACCATAAAGTGGAGAGAGCATCACAACTTCTAAAAGTACTCCATCTATCATTATCCTAAAAGGGATTACCAATTCATTTTACAAGTAAAACAATGACTTCTTCATCAACCAATCATGGTCTAGCAAAGATTGGCTTCCCATCATGTAAGTATTTCTATACGAACTTGTATATGATATAGTTTCTAACATGTATTGTGATGTGTAGATCTTGGATCTAATATATTAAAATAATTAACATGTGGTATCAGAGCATTCATATAACATCACACTCTGTTTATTACGTAGTACGTAATATCATGCGTATCATATCATATCCGTACATATATAAACTGTTTGTTCGTATGTATGAATTGAAGATCATTTTTTTTAATATGGAATTCTGAATTAACTTTTGGCATGACCGTATGACACCTATTCCATGATAATCATTCATAATGTAATCATGATAAAATATCATCATCATCATCATGTTCTAAACAAAAAAAAATGAAAACCATCATCCTTGGTAATATGGAAAAACTTGCAGAAGACTTTTTCTTCTTGTATAGTTACGTTTAACCGCCGGCAGTTGTTTTAATTTGTTTTTGCCGCTAATCAGTGGCCGGCGGGTTTGTGTCATTGGCCAACGGATTATGGCGGTTACCGTTCAATTGTGACGGTTACCGGCATGTTTTGACGATTAACGGCGGACTGTGACGGTTTCCGGCGTGACAGTTACCAACGATTTAATTGGTGATTGTTAGAGACTATGTGATGATTACGAGTAGTTACCACGGGTGTTTTGTGCAATTTACGTACACCGTCATTTTCTTTTTTTAATTAATTCATGCATGTCGTATTGTCATACATGATACATGCTATTAAGAAATATGAGGCTCTTAGGTTATGGGCATACACAATCATATCAGTTTAAGTTATATGTAATCCTGGTGTGCATATGTATTGATATGGTATGTCATGCACATATAATAATAATAATAGTGTGTTGATCGTATTTTTCTGCCCATCATTACTTTTCATCCGGTTACGTGGCGGCGGAATACTTTCTTAAATAATACGAAGTACATTTTTTTAGCCACACTTTATTTATGGAAATTACATTGATAACATCTAATATCGGCCCAACGGAAGATATTAGATTAAAAATAAATCATTTTACCATTATTAGTAAAAATGGCTAAATAAAAATAATAATTTAAAAAAAAACTTATTTTTTATGCTCTTGATTATTGGAACTAGAGCTTAATAAATGATTTTTGCATTATTATTCAATGAACCCAACGGTTAGTTGTTTGATGGTGTAATTAATCATTGTATATATTAGCCTAAATGCATGAACATTATGATTCTGCCCAAAGGTGATTTTAATGTTTGTGTGGCGTAGTTTAACTTGTTATGTGTCATTATGCATGATTGTTAGTGATAGCCAACGCGAAACTAAAAATCAAGCAAGACATTAGTATACCTATTATTTGATGTTATTAATAGGTTTAATTAAATGACATTTTAAATATCCCGATTAAATCCCTCTTATTTTTTTTTTTTTTTTTTTTTTTTTTTTTTTTTTTTTTTTTTTTTTTTTTTTTTTTTTTTTTTTTTTTTTTTTTTTTTTTTTTTTTGGCCGCCAGGATAATTGTCGTGATTATAAGACATACTGATAAAATATCAGGAGATCCTTAAACAACACGACATTGAAACCTTAGGGGTTGCTGGAGATGTTAGTGGTGGACACTGAATAACAAAACAAACCACATCAACCCACAAAATTCGAACATAAATTCCAGCCATGGCAGTGAGAAAGCTAAGAACTACATAACAACTTCCCCTCAATGAGCATCACCAAACACAACGGTACGTAACATGTGTCTCAATGATTTCGCCTGTGTATGTAACCTTCACAACCTGCCCCTTTTCAAGTCCATAGTAGCGGGCTATCGCATCCTTCTGTGACATCCTAGGAAGCTTGAAATTTTCAAGAAGAAATACTGTTTCTCTTCCAAGTTATATTTCTCCAACAGCTTTTGCTTCTCTTCATCAGATAGAATTTGATGCTTTGGCCTCAACGCATGCTTAGTGATGTTGACAAGCAAGTCTTTGACCTGGAAAATTTCAACTTTGCATGCAAAGAGTTCTACAGCTTTTGTAGCTTGATTGGTTAGTTGACTTTGCACAACCAGTATCAACCGATTCAAGGTCTCCTTGTTGACTATCTGACTTAAAATTCCACGGATAGTACCTACTTTTATAACATTTTGACCACAGAATATGACCAGAACCTTATTATCAGGGTCGTACTTGTGGAGAGAGGTGATCTTGCCTTGAAATCTTTCTTTTATACTTTGTTGAGTAATGTGTTGTAATAGAACAAATTATACTTCATATCTTAGGCATTACTTCTTTTGTTTGTAATCTTCTTGTTATCCTTTGATAAGTAATATACTCTAATGGAACATATTATGCTATCAATAACAAAGTTCATGCGCTTCTTCATTCATTATTTATAGACAAGTGTGATACATTCGTGTTTTAAGTGTTTAAAAATTATATTTACTTGTTACTACATCTAGTTTCATTGTAATTAAATATTACTGTAACACCCCCAAATTTCCCTCCCAAAATAATACTTAAGAAATAATAAACTTTTATTAATTATTCAAAACTTTCAATTGTTTGCAGCGGAATTAAACACTAACAAGGAAAAGGGGCGTGTTACCGCTACACCCAGCCCTAACCCGACTGGATGCTACGGCTAACCACCATAAATGTATCTAAAGTAACTATTGAGTTCAACATTTGGAATAATGAAGTCTAACAAAGTTTATTCTAAATGAGACTACTCTAAAAGTCTTCTAGGAGCACTCTCAATGCATCAATCTTCATAAACCACATCATCTGTAACATAGGAAAATAAAAGAAACAAATAACACAAAAATTAGCTTTAAAGCTAAGTAAGTCCCACCCAAACCCGTAAAATAATAGTTTTGTTGAAAAATAAGTATTTGTATATAGTATATACAAAAATGAGTTTCCAATAATTTCAAAAAGAGTAATAATATCTCCAAAAGATTTTCTTCAATAATTCTCGTAAGTATTTCAAAGAATAATTCTCCAAGTACCAAAATATTTTATTTTTCCTCAAAATAGCTTTATAGCCAATTTTCCTAATTATTTAGTTAGAAGGGCGGTGCTCAAGCGTTATCTCGATTCTTGAGCCCAGTGATCCGTTGTTTTGTACGGTCACTCCGATCTACTCTCGGTACCTCATCTCCTCTATTAGAATCTAGACTTCTACCTTAAGTGTGAACACCCCCTAAAGGGATTCCAAGCCCTCCGAGTAGTATGAAGTCTAAGTAGTTCTGACGTCAACGTCTCCCTACTCAAAATGGGATATACTCCCTAAGTTCTAGGTTCAAAGATCCTTAAGAGAATAGGTACTACTACTACTGTCTTAATAAATGGGATCTAATGCCCAGTTGTTCGGGGTGGTTACCGAACCCTCCAAAATTTATTTAATTTGCTTTACATCTCTCAACTCAAGTAGTAGTAGTCCTAACCCTCCCTCACCATTAACGGACGTGAAGGTGGCCCGACACCTACGGATTTCTCCCGTGGTGCCCCAATTATGAAAACAGTCTTTTATCTTGACTTTCCAAAAATTTCACATTTATGTCTCTTGGACAAAATTTTACCTCAAGGATTATTATCCTTAAATTCATAACTTTATATTCTCCCCAAAATATCTTACGTATACACATAATCCGATGTATCTCAAAATCATAACAAACACAACTTGCTCACAAGTAATTCATCAATCAAAATATTCACACCATCACATAAATCAAGTAAATAATTATTTACGAGGTAAAATATAATTTTGGTTGCAATGTGACTTACCTCAAATTCCAGATATTCTTAGCAAGCTTCCCTAACGGCTTCCTCTCCAAAGTCACCTTCTATTATTTAGAATTCCCGAAGTCAATATTTGTTCTCATTCGTATTATAATTGTTCTACCTTTCCATTAAGGATTATGCTTGCATATTTTATTATAAAAGTCCATTTTTTATTATATTTTATTCTATTTTGCTAAACTATTTGGATTTCAGCCTTAACAGTCCCTTTACCAAATTAATATCAATTTAATTAAATCTCATACCATTTAAATATTCAGGTCATATAATTCATCGTTTATTAATATGATCCTTGTTATTTGTTATTTAATCGGTTCAACATATTGTTAATTTAACGCTTGTAAGGAATAAATGTAATTAGATTTTGATGATGCTATAGGATTAGAAAGATAGAGTACCCCCAATTAGATTTTATGTATTAGAATTTTCAATTGTAAGTATTAGTGTAGTCGACGATCAGAGTTGCTCTGTTTTTTTGATCAGATCAGAAGTGCATCAGAATTGCTCGACCAGACTTGCTCTGTGAGAACTGCTTTATCAAGAGTTCTCTTATCAGAAGTCCATCAGAGTTGCACCATGAGATCTGCTGATAAATTGGACATCTGATAACCGACGAGAGTTACAGATCAGAGGTACTCATCAGCGGACCTATCAGAGTCAGAGTTAGAGTTCAGTCAGAGATCAGAAAGCCATCAGAACTCAACTCATCAGAAAGCCATCAGAATTCAATACTTCAGAAGAGCCTGATCAGAGCTCGACGAACACTTAGAAATTTTCAAGCAACATCCAACAGCTATGAATTCAACGGGTAAAAACATCCAACGGCTAGAAGACTGTGCATGAAAGGAAAGCAGTTAATGCACATTAAATGAGCCTGATACGCTGAAGGATTGATTGCAAATGATTGACCAAAGAATCCGGGAAGATATATTTTAAAAATAGAAACCTTCCAAAAACGGCGGTCAAGTCAACTGTACGCGCATTTAATGCAGTTGTCTCCTCCTCCAACGGGCAGACAACCTCAGTATATAAGCTACACACCGAAGAACAGAAAAATAACTTTGCTACAACTTTTGCTCATCATCATTCAAGCTCTCTTGAGTTTAAAATTCTACAACCTTCAACAAGACAAGCTTACGTTGGGAAGATTCAAACTCCAAATCTTTCATCCCCAACAAACAAGCAAAGTACATCCTGTTCTTCAACTCTTCAAGAACTTCATCAAACATCATTTGTAACGAAGCAAGTTGGAGGAAAAACTCTGTTTTTCAAAGGATCTTCTGCAAAGAAGGGCGTCCAAGTAACTGCAGTAGTGAAGTGGTGAAACTTCCGGGAAGCTGAGTGAAAGGACCAGCCATCAGGGCGTGGAATTACATCCTGGGTGGCATCTAGACTTGAAGAAGACGAGGAGTGCTTCTTAAGTGCTAGGATTTAGCTTTGTAACCGATCTACTTCAAAGCTAGTGGAACAGTGGACTAGAGGAACGCGTTGTTCCTTGAACCACTATAAAAATATCCGGTGTCATTTACTTTACTGCAATTTACATTTCTGCACTTAGGATATTAACTGAGTAACTCTAAGACTTGGAATCTGTGTTCAGCAGATCTTGTTTTCAGAGTTATCAGAAAGGCATCTGCCTTAGTGTTTCTGAGGCTACCCGGACAGATCAGAATCCGCTGCCAAGGCCAGTTCTGATATCAGAACCAGCCTTTCTCTGTCATCAGAATCAGACCTTCTCTGATAAGTCAATTTGGACTTGGAGAAAATTTGAAAAACTAACCAGTCTATTCACCCCCCCCCTCTAGACTGGTTACCATATTAAACGGGACCAACAAGTGGTATCAGAGCCTCCTTGTTCTTGTAATCTTTTAGGTTACTCTCTGAACAAAGATCCACTTGTTCTTAGCCTCTACTTATTTATTATAATGGATAATTCTCTTGCAAAGCATCTTATGTTCACAGATCAGAAGTATGATGATTGGAAGATCAGAATGAAGGCACATCTATGTGCTCTTCATGATGAAATGTGGGAAGTCTTGGAAAATGGCCCCTTTATCCAGTTCATGAAGATCAATCCTGCTCACTCCATTGATAACTTTCAGCCCCAGATGATTGAGAAAGCCCGGTCAGAATGGACCAAGGAAGAGAAGAGGCAGTACAATCTAGATAATATAGCCAAGGACATCCTTTACAAGGCTATTGATGAAAGATACTTTAACAGAATCAAGAAGTGCAGAACTGCCAAAGAAATCTGGGATAAGCTGGATGAGATTGGAGCAGGAGATGAACAAGAAAGGGACAACAAGCTGACCATTGCAATGAAGAAGTTTGATGACTTCAAACTCCTACCAGAAGAATGCATTGCTAAGATGCATGAGAGATTGCTGATTCTCATCAGTGAGATTTCTGAGCTTGGGAAGGAGCTCACCATCAAAGAGGTCAACATGAAGATCCTCAGGGGACTGCCTTCAGCTTGGAAGATGAAGGTGATTGCAGTCCAGGAAAGCAAGAACATCAAGACTTATGCCACTGAGAAACTCATCTCTGATCTCAAGGCTTATGAGTTTGAGATGCATGAAGAGAAGGAAGAAGTTCCTGATGAGAGGACCACCACTGCTCTCACTGCTAGCACCTCAAAGGTAAGTGACTTTGACCCTTCTACTCTGTTATCTGATGAGTATATGGCTGCTTTTGCCAGAAAGTTTAAGAAGTTTATGAAGAAAGATGGAAGGAGTCCATCTTCCATCAGAAGACCACATCAGAAGACCAAGTCCTCTGAAAGCAATGGAGAGTACCTCTGTTACAACTGCAGACAGCCTGGGCACTTCAAAGCAAACTGCCCCTATCCAAGAGTGTCCAAGAAGCAAGGACATGAAGATGAAAAGAAACCAGATGATCAACACAGAAGAAGAAGAGCATTTGTCTCAGAACAAGCCGAGAGAGATCCACTTTCTGAATCTGAGTCCAGCTCAGACTCCGACTCTGATGAAGCATTCTGCTGCTTGGATGCAGAGACTGAAGACCTTTGCCTCATGGCACAATCAGATGATGAGGTATGCTCTACTTCTAATTCTATTTCCTCTTCGGTAGGCACAGCCTTAAATGATGATCCAATGTCATCATTTTGGGAAGAGTTCCAAACTATCCAAGCCACTTATTCTTTTGTTAAAGAAGAGAACAGTAGGCTGAAAGTTGATATCTCTGATCTAAGGAAAGAGACTGAGTGCAAACTTAATCTCTTAACTGAGGAAAGAGATAGACTAAAGGCTGAAAATGAGTCACTTCTTAAAAGAATAAGAGACATTGAGGAACTTGAGAATAGATATAATAGTCTTCTGAAGATGCAATCTTCCATGAAGAATATTGGTGATTCTCATAACTTCACCGCTGGTCTTGGATATGTTGA